TATTATTATTATTATTATTATTATTTGATAATAAGTCCCCCCAGGGGTGAGAAAGGCGGTATATAAATACTGTAAATAAATAAACAAACAAAAATATTTTAAATATTCTCCCCCTGCAACTTTCTTTCATTCTCCCCCACAACTTCCTTATTATTGTTGTTGTTATTATTATTAGTAGTAGTAGTATTAGTAGTAGTAGTATTTGATAATAAGTCCTCCCAGGGGTGAGAAAGGCGGTATATAAATACTGTAAATAAATAAATAAACAAAAAATATTTTAAATATTCGCCCCTGCAACTTCCTTTCTTCCCCCCCATAACTTCCTTATTATTATTATTATTATTATTATTATTATTTGATAATAAGTCCCCCCAGGGGTGAGAAAGGCGGTATATAAATACTGTAAATAAATAAACAAACAAAAATATTTTAAATATTCTCCCCCACAACTTCCTTATTATTATTATTATTATTATTTGATAATAAGTCCTCCCAGGGGTGAGAAAGGCGGTATATAAATACAGCAAATAAATAAATAAATAAATAAATATTATTTCCAGTATTTCTACCCCGTCCTTCTCAACCCCCGGAGGGGGACTCAGGACAGCTTACATTTGGCAACAATTCAATGCCACTACATATAACAAAGGAATATAACAACAACTAAAACAATAAATAGAGCATTAATTAAAACAATAAAAACAATATTAACAGCCGTATCACCATTCCAGTCGAATTTCACATCCAAAGTGCTATTTATGCCTACTGTCCAAAAGCCTGGTCCAAGAACCACGATTTCAATTTCTTCCTAAAAGACAGGAGGGATGAAGCTGATCTTACCTTGGTGGAAAGCGAGTTCCACAGGCAGGGGGGCCACAGCCGAGAAGGCCCTCTCTCTCGTCCCCACCAGACGTATTTGCGATGCTGGCGGAGCAAGAGCAGGGTTGCCTTGCTGCTTCGCAGTTCCCTCGCTACTTCGTGGTTCGCTTTTTGTGGACTCACACTTTCGTGGTTTTTCAATAAATATGAATTTAAAATGTTGGGAGGCGGGTGGGGGGAGCCACAGGGGGCGGAGGGGGAGGAAGATGAAGAGGGGGAAAGAGGAGAAGGAGGAGAGGAAGGTGAAGGGATTGAGCAAGTGAGAGAGAGGTGGAGGGGTAGAGAGCTGCTCAACTAAAGTGACCGAAGGATTTTGTTTATAAGGTAAGGGAAAGGGGTTATGTAGTGTATAACTGTGTGGGGAGGGTCTATAAAGACTTAAAATAGTATATAACTACTGAAATAATATATAAATATTGAAATAAATATAGCATCCCTACTTTGAGGATTTTCACTTATGGTGGTCCTGGAACGTAACACCCGCGATAAGTGAGGGAACGTTGTACTATGGAGCAATGCACAAAGGTTAAGAGGTATTCATGGATGATTTTGAATGATTGGAAGACACCAAAGGACAGGCATGGACAAACTTGGACCCTCCAAATGTTTTGGACTCCAACTTCCACAATTCCTAACAGCTTCAGGCCCTTTAATAATATTATAATTTATTTATATTCTGCCCTATCTCCCCAAGGGGACTCAGGGCGGATCACAGTACACATACACGGCAAACATTCAATTCAGAAAGGAGACATGTTGTGTTTGACGTCAGCACCTTGGAAGGTTGTGCCTGAAATGCAGCCACAGGGGGGTGCTGTCGCTCCATCCTCTATGACAAAGAGCCATCATTACTTCCTCTTTCCTTTTTGGTCACTGGTATTTTGTGGTCTTTCACTTTTTTATGGAGTCGTAAAATACCTCCCCTGCTTGTTTTAGCGGTACCTAATTTCTCTAATTAGAGCACAAGTTGTTTTTGAACTGCTTAGGTCAACAGTAAGCTGGGCTTGATAGTTGGCAGCTCACACTGATCTGGGGCTTCGAACTCGCAACCTTTCGATTGGTAGGTGTTATTTTCTGGACTTTTACTTTTTTATGGAGTCGTAAAATACTTCCCCCGCTTGTTTTAGCGAAACCTAATTTCTCGAATTACAGTACAAGTTGTTTTTGAACTACTTAGGTCAACAGTAAGCTGGGCTTGATAGTCGGCAGCTCACACTGATCCGGGGCTTCGAACTCGCAACCTTTCCGTTGGTAGATGTTATTTTCTGGACTTTTACTTTTTTATGGTGTCGTAAAATACCTCCCCTGCTTTTTTTAGTGGTACCTAATTTCTCTAATTACAGTACAAGTTGTTTTTGAACTGCTTAGGTCAACAGTAAGCTGGGCCTGATAGTTGGCCGCTCATGCTGATTTGGGACTTTGAACTAGCAACCTTTCCGTTGGTAGATGTTATCATTGCTGGTGATTTTAACACCTGTGCTAAACCCTGGCCCCCTCAGCCGCTTAAGCTGTTTCATAGGAAATCTGCTACAAAACAGGAGCTTTTTTGTTGAGTTCCAGGGTCAGAGAAGCTGATGACGAAGGTAGAAAAATGGCTTGCCTCAGGGGAGTGTGCTTGCTCCATCAATGTTTGACATTTACACAGATGATCAGCCACTGCCAGAAGGGACAGAGAGTTTCATCTATGCTGACGATCAAGCCATCACCACTCAAGCTGAGGAGGAAAAGGAGAGGGCCTGAGGCTGTTAGGGATTGTGGGAGTTGTAGTCCAAAACACCTGGAGGGCCCAAGTTTGCCCATGCCTGCTATAGAAGCCCAATCCATTCCTGATGGTCTCTCATTCAAATAGGGTTCAAGCCCAATCCTGTTTCCAAAATCAGAAGGCAATGAGTGTTGCCTCTCTCACGGATTTGAAAACTGCTGCCGTGTGTCCTTTCATTGCAGGAAATCTCTTCGTTGAGGAAGCTGCTGGCAAAATACATTTAAAAACAACGAATTGAGGACACCGCCATCACCGTCTGTTGGGAAATGGCACTGGGGAGGAGGTCTTGGAGGCCCTTTCCGTTGAGAAGACGACAAGAGCTGAGCTGTTGAGTATCGAACCCGTAACGGCAATCCTAATCTTGATGACTCCGCCAAAGGGCCACGTAGCGACTTGTATAGAAAAGTCCTCCTCGTCCCTTTGGGATGGTGGAGGGGTGAATAAAGGCCCCCCGCTTTGCACAGCCGAGAGCAGTCTTTTTGGTGGGTGGCGCATTGGAAGGAAAATGAGAAAAAAGAAAGGAGGAAAGACAGAAAAGGAGGGAGTGGGTGTCTTTCTAGCTGGTTCTAGGTTTCAAACTGAATCGAGGTCTGTTTAGGAACATAAACATCACCTTTTCAGGAGGCCGGCCATGGAAGACGTACACATCCATAGTTGTGACCCCTTGGGCTTTTTTCTTAGGCCCTCCTCTTGCCTTCCTATCCTTCCTTCCTTCTCTCTTCCCTCCCTTCCTTCCCTTTTGTCTTTCCTCCCTCCCTTCCCTTCTTTCCTTCCTTCCTTCCTTCCTTTTGTCTCTCCTCCCTCCCTGCCTCCCGCCCTCCCTTCCTTCCTCCCTCCTTTCCTCCCTCCTTCCCTCCCCTTTTGTCTTTCCTTCCTTCCTCCCTTCCTTCCCTTTTGTCTTCCCTCCTTCCTTTCCTTCCTTCCTTCCTGCCTTCCAGCCTTCCTCCCTTTTTCTTTCCTCCCTCCTTACCTCCCTCCCTCTTTCCTTCCTTCTTTCCTTCCTTTCATCTTCCTTTTTTCTTTCTCCCTCCTTCCCTCCCTCCTCCCTCCTCCCTCCTTCCTTCCTTCCTTCCTTCCTTCCTTCCTTCCTTCCTTCCTTCCTTCCTACCTACCTTTCTCCCTTCCTTCCTTCCTTCCTTCCTTCCTGCCTTCCTCCCTTCCCTTTTTTTGCTTATCTCCCTCCTTACCTCCCTCCTTTCCTTCCTTCTTCCTTTCGTCTGTCCTTTTTGTCGTTCCGCCCTCCCTCCCTTCCCTTTTGTCTTTCCTTCCTCCTTCCCTTCCTTCCTTCCCTTTTGTCTTTCCTTCCTCCTTCCCTCCCTCCCTCACTTCCTCCCTCCTTTCCTTCTTTTTCATCTGTCCTTTTTGTTCCCTTCTCTCTTTTCTCCCTCTATCCCTTTTTCTCCTTCCTTCCTTCCTTCCTTCCTTCCTTCCTTCCTTCCTTCTCTTCCTTCCTTCCTTCCTTTTTCCTCCTCCTCCTTCCTTCCTATCCTTCCTTCCCTTTTCCTCCTTTTTTTTTCCTCCCTCCCTCTCTCTTCTTTCCCTTTTGTCTTTTCTCCCTCTTCCTTTTCTTTCTCCCTCCTTCTCTTTTGTCTTTCCTCCATCCTTCCCTTTTGTCTTCCCTCCCTCCCTCCTCCTTTTCCTTCCTCCTTTCCTCCTGCGGGAAGAGAAGGTAGAGAGGAAACATAAGAATTATGTTTCAAGATTTCAAAGGGCGTCCCGTGGAGAAGGAGAAGGGGGAAAACTGACTTTCTCCAGCTCTAGAGACCAGGGCGCAAGGGAGCCATGGGTTCAAATGGCAGAGAAAGAGATATGACAGAAAAGATTAGGAAGAGCTTCTCCAGAGTGAGAGCTATGGGAGAGCGGCCTAGTCTGCCTTGGAGTGTGGTGGAGTCTCCTTCTCTGGAGGCTTTTCTGCTGAAGCCGTCTATCAGGTGTGCTTTGATTGTGCTGTCCTGAATGGCAGGGGATTGAACTTGTGACACCAATGGAGTACTTCCTCATTGTTTTTGCAAGCTGCTGGAGAGTGTTTTTATGGCATTGTAAATTAGTTAAATTAGCCTCCCCGCACAAGCGGTACCTAAATTTCCTACTTAACAGATGCAACTGTCTTTTGGGCTGAAAAGGTCGACAGCAAGCTAGACAAATGGCTGGAAGCTCACTCCGACCCAGACTGGCTTCAAACTCGTGACGTCTCAGTCAGTAGTGATTTTAATGCAGCTGACTCCCATCTGTGCCACAACCCGGTCCTATTCAGACAGCCAATTCTCTCACACCAGATGCAACTTGCAGTTTCTCAAGTTGCTCCTGACATGGAAAAAAAAATCATATGTATCCCAGCGACAATGATGGACATAGTGAATGGTTTTCAGTGTTTTATTAGCAAAGGTGCTGCAGCAAAGCACAACAATATCATAATAATATAATACAAAATAGAACTATGTACACACCTAACTGGCACACCAATGGCATCTGCCAGGTCGCAAACAAACACACTCAGTGCCCAATACTGAGGCATGGGGGAGCTCAGACGTGGGGAAATGTTCATGTATGTCTCTTAAGAGGCTTACAGGCCAGTTCTGGCTTTCTCTTTGATGAGTCTGGGTAATCTAAGTGCAAACAGAAAAGAGGGCAAGACTGCTTTTTTTTTGCATGTATGCAGATCCGGGCATGTTTTGCTAACGTGTTCAAGCAAGTTGTTCAAAGTGAAATGTTTTGGATCCCAAATAGAAGAGAATCCGAGGCAGAAATGGCCTAAGTATAAAGGCTTTCATGGCCGGAATCACTGGGTTGTTGTAGGTTTTTCAAGCTGTATGGCATGTTCTAGAAGCATTCTCTCCTGACGTTTCACCTGCATCTATGGCAGGCATCCTCACAGCCTCAGGCCCTTTCCTTTTGCCCCTCAGCCGCTTAATGTGATCGACTCACATTTGCATGTTTTCGAACTGCTAGGTTGGCAGAAGCTGGGACTAACAGCGGGAGCTCACCCCGCTCCTCGGATTCGAACTTGCAACCTTTCAGTCAGCAAATTCAGCAGCTCAGCGGTTTAACCTGCTGTGCCACCGAGGGGGGGGGGTTATACTATGATTTTAAGTCACTTTTGTACCTTTCTGCAACAAGAGAAGATAATGTTTCTGCAGAATTAAGTCTAGCTGTGTCCAACTCTGGAGGGTGGTGCTGACCTCCATTTCTAAGCTGGCGTTGTCCATAGACGCCTCCAAGGACATGTGGACTGCATGACTGCATGGAGCACATAAGTGGTACCTTTTGATTAAATTGGTAATGGAGTGCGATTACCTTCCAGCCAGAGCGGTACCTATTGATCTACTCACATTTGCATGTTTTCGAACTGCTAGGTTGGCAGAAGCTGGGGCTAACAGCAGGAGCTCACTCCACTCCCTAGATTCGAACTGCCAATCTTTCGATCAGCAAGTTCAGCAGCTCAGCGGTTTAACCTGCTGCACCACCAGGGGGCCCAGCAGATTAAATTGGTAATGGAGTGCCATTATCTTCCAGCCAGAGTGGTAACTATTGATCTACTCACACTTGCATGTTTTCGAACTGTTAGATTGGCAGAAGCTGGGGCTAATAGCAGGAGCTCACTCCACTCACCAGATTCGAACTACCAATCTTTCGGTCAGCAAGTTCAGCAGTTCAGCAGTTCAGTGGTTTAACCTGCTGCACCACCAGGGGACCTAAATGCTTCCATAGATTAACTTAAACATGAATGGTATTCCATCCCATAGTGCATAAATACAGTAGTTTAGGGCTAAAGATCCAGACGCATGACTCCCTTACATCGCCTGTCCTTCTGCAGCAGACAAAGTCCTCTTGGGTCAATGCTTTGAGTTCTCTTCCACGCTTGGTGGCATTGCAACACCCGTCTTATGGTTATTCTCCGGACTCGACTTAAATAATGAGATCTGAGCCTCAGCTGTCCAAGGAAGCCATGGAACACAAACCCCATTTTGGGGCATTCTTCCGCAGTTAGGACCATGCCATGCTTGGCTTGTCCAGGGCAGAACATGGCCACCGTCCCCATTGAGAATCCCAAGTCTAACTGTTCTTGATGGTCAGCCTGAAGCTGTGATGCGGAGAGATCTTCCGAAGGTGAGGGTAGCGAGGGTTGACGTAGACCTCTTCCAGCCCGTCCTTCTCCTCCTCCTCGTCCTCGCACAGGTCAAAGAAGGCTTTCAGGAGGTCCGGGGAAGCGTAGCTGGCGGCGATCACGATTGCGCCAATCAGGAAGCAGAGCAGCCCTGGAAGAGAAGGGCCCAGAAAGGCCGGTCAGTCAGCCATTCAGTCAGAACCAAACTTGGCTCCCGGGCTGGCCAGGAAAGGAGCATTGAGGGTGCGCTTCTGCGTCTCGGGTTCAGGGGAGAGCGCTCCATGTATTGGCAGAAAAGCACTGATTAATCTGTTGTTTATTCAGCCCTTTTCACATCATAAGAGTGCCACCCAACCATAAAACATCCCCACTTTCCGAAGCAGGAAACGTGAAATTCTTAAGGAGGGACAAATGCATTCACATGAGTATTGCAAAGTCTGGTTCACTGAGATGGAAACGGGTGGCACACAAGGATAGCAGACTAACACCACTTTATTGGCCATGGAGTCTGATATTTTTTTTTGGGGGGGTGTGTGTGCAAAAGAGAGTTCAGGTGCATTCTTCAAACTGCAGCACTCTCGTAAATATTTATTTTATTTATTACTAGCTGTCCCCTGCCATGCGTTGCTGTGGCCCTGTCTGTATATATGTGTTTTGTGTGTATATATGTGTGCATATGTGGTTTTGCGCATGCGTTGTAATGTATTTTTTGTTTTTTAAGTCTCTTCTGCTGTTTTTCAGTGTTTTTATGAGTGATGGTCACTTGTTGGCCTGATAGGCCAAATTTGGTGTCAATTCGTCCAGCGAACATTACATTTTTATTTATACAGACTAGCTGTCTCCTGCCACGCATTGCTGTGGCCCACATGGGGGTTCTGTGTGGGAGGTTTGGCCCAATTCTATCGTTGGTGGGGTTCAGAATGCTCTGTGACAATTCCTAACAGCCCCAGGCCTTCATTTCCCCCCTCAGCCACTTAAGCACCTTGCTTGAGCAGTGATGGCACGATCGTCAGCATAGATGAAACTCTGTCCTTTCTAACAGTAGCTGATCATTTGTGTAAGTGTTAGTAGTAGTAGTTATTTTACTGATTAGCACCTTGCTTGGGTGGTGATAGCACAATCGTCAGTATAGATTAGTCTCTGTCCTTTCTGACAGTGGCTGATCATTTGTGTAAATATTAGTAGTAGTAGTAGTAGTAGTAGTAGTAGTTATTTTACTGATTAGCAGCTTGCTTGGGTGGTGATGGCACAATCTTCAGTATAGATGTGTCTCTGTCCTTTCTGACAGTGGCTGATCATTTATGTAAATATTAGTAGTAGTAGTAGTAATAGTAATTTAACTGATTAGCACCTTGCTTGGGTGGTGATGGCACAATCGTCAGTATAGATGTGTCTGTCCTTTCTGACAGTGGCTGATCATTTATGTAAATATTAATAGTAGTAGTAGTAATTTTATTGATTAGCCCTTAGGCCGTATCACATTATCAAACAAAACAACAAGTCTTGATAAGACTTGATTGCACTCTATGTAGTAAGTTAAAATAAGACACTTATAACAATCTATATAAATAAAAATGTAATGTTCGTTTGTTGGATTAACATAACTCAAAAACGACTGGATGAATTGACACCAAATTTGGACACAAGACACCTCTCAGGCCAACAAGTGACCATCACTCATAAAAACACTGAAAAACACAGCAGAAGAGTCTTAAAAAGCCAAAAACAAAAAAATAAATTTCAAAGCATGTGCAAAACCACACATATATACGCAAACACACATATAAACACTCAAAACACATATACACAGACTGGGCCACAGCAACACATGGCGGGGGATGGCTAGTACAGTAAATAAATATAAGATAAAACTGAGTATATACATCATATTTCCTTATCACCCTTACAATTTATCCCAATTAGCCCCACATACAATATCTCAGATTTATTGTTTTGCTTAAATACAGAGCTGTTGTATATGTTATTTTGGGGTGTAAATGTTAAACATGTATGAAGCAGGCACGCTTCTTTGAGGCTTTGGTCTTTACCATCTGCTTCTCTGACCCTGGAACTCAACAAAAAAGCTCCTGTTTTGTAGTAGATTTCCTATGAAGCAGGTGAGGTGGCAATCCTTTGTTTGTGTGTATGTGTGTGTATGTATGAGGGGGGAAAGGAAAGGGCCTGAGGCTGAAACTTGGGCTCTCCGGGTGTTTTAGACTCCAACTCCCACAATTCCTAACAACCTCAGACCCCTTGAGCGGTGATGATCATCAGCATAGATGAAACTCTGAATTATGGGAGTTGAAGTCCGAACACATGGAGGGCCCAAGTTTGCCCATACCTGAACTATAACCTGCTAGGAGTCAGTCCACAAAGCTGAAAAGGGGTCCAGAACTGCTCCAATGAGAAGATTCTTGGCCTATCTTGCAAGGTTGTTGGGAGAGTAAATGGGAAGGAATAACACACACTCCCCAGAGGAAAGGCAAGATGAGTGATGCTCACCTGTGAAAAGCGTGAGCCAGAAAGACGCTCCGTACGCTGCCTCCAGAGAGGCATGGCCAAACTGGATGATGCAGGCCGGAGCGTTCCTGACGGTGGCGAAGGAGAGGAGGGCGAAGATCAGAAAGGCGCCCGTGACGAGGATCATGTAGCCTCCGTACACCGGAACCGGCATCGAGAAGAGCAGGTTGGAGACCAGCCAGGCGCAGAATGCAACCCTGTAACACAAAGAAGTTGTAGTTGCTGGGATTTGTAGTTAACCTACAATCAAAGAGCATTCTGAACTCCGCCAGCGATGGAACTGAACCAGCACACAGAACTCCCATGACCAACAAAAAATACTGGAAGGGTTTGGTGGGCATTGACCCTGAGTTTGGGAGTTGTAGTTCACATACATCCAGAGAGCACCGTGGATATAATGATGGATCTGGACCAAACTTGGCACAAATTCTTAATATGCCCAAATGTGAACACTGGTGGAGTTTGGGGAAAAAAGACCTTGACATTTGGGAGCTATAGTTGCTGGGATTTATAGTTCACCTACAATCAAAGAGCATTCTGAACTCCACCAACGATGGGATTGAACCAAACTTGGCGCACAGAACTCCCATGACCAAGAGAAAACACTGGAAGGGTTTGGTAGGCATTGACCTTGAATTTTGGAGTTGTAGTTCACCTCCATCCAGAGAGCACTGTGGACTCAAACAATGATGGATCTGGACCAAACTTGGCACAAATACTCAATATGCCCAAATGTGAACACCGGTGGAGTTTGGGGAAAATAGAGCTTGACATTTGGGATCTGTAGTTGCTGGGATGTATAGTTCACCTACAATCAAAGAGCATTCTAAACCTCACCAGTGATAGAATTGGGCCATACTTTCCATACAGAACCCCCATGATCAACAGAAAGTACTAAAAGAGTTTGATGAGCATTGAACATGAGTTTTAGAGTTGTAGTTCACCTATATCCAGAAAGCACTGTGGACTCAGGCAATGATGGATCTGGACCAAGCTTGGCACAAATACTCAATATGCCCAAATGTGAACACTGGTGGAGTTTGCGGGAAAATAGACTTTGACATTTTGGAGTTGTGGTTGCTGGGATTTATAGTTCACCTACAATCAAAGAGCATTCTGAACCTCACCAATGATAGAATTGGGTCAAACTTCTCACACAGAATGCACATGACCAACAGAAAATACTGTGTTTCCTGATGGTGTTTGGCACCTCATCCAACACCCCCCCCCCCTTGTGACTCACAAGGGGTCCCGACCCCAAGGTTGAGAAACACTGCTTTAGGAGTAACTTCTTGATGGTAAGAGCCATTTGACAGTGCAATATCTGGGGGACTGCCCTTTTCTGGAGGTCTTTGAGCAGAGGGTGGATGGCCATCTGTCAGGAGGGCTCACAACCCCCCCCCCAGGGGTCCTGACCTCCAGGTTGAGAAACACTGTCCTATGCTATAGGATCACAGGTCTTGTAGTTTTGCAAGGTCTTTAACCTTCTCTGCAAAACAAGTGCCAATGCCTTTCCAAACTACAGCTCCCATAGCATTAAGCCATTGCAGTTAAAGTGGTGGCAAACCACATTCCTTCTGTAGTGTACATGCACCCTTAGTTAACGTGGTTTGTCTCTTTGCGGACATCAGAGAAACGCAAATGCTAAATAAATTATGGCTTGTGGGGAATTACAAAACAATGTGATTGCTACAAATTGTGAAGGAGGTCTCGGGTTCAGTTCTGGGCAAGTCTAACCCAAAAGCATCAAGAGTCCGAAAAGTCATTTTTCTCATCCAAAGCTTACAGCACTCCACAAGGGATTGGTATAGCCTGTTATATCGGATTCAGTTCTGGGCAAGTCTAACCCAAAAGCATCAAGAGTCCGAAAAGTCATTTTTCTCACCCAAAGCCTACAGCACTCCACAAGGGATGCCATTGATTGGTATAGCCTGTGATATCAGGGGTTGGACTAGATGGCCTTTGAGGTTCCCTTCCAATTTATGATTCTATGTCCTCAAACATCACCTTTCCAGCCATGCGTGGGAGGTTTTGCTCACCATAAAGTAGCGGATGCATAATGCCCAGCCATCCGGTAGAGGCTATGCAAGCCGCAAGGGCTGTTTCCACTGAACGTCTCTGCCACGTAGAGGATAGGATTGGGCAGGCCTTGGTGCAAGCCCTCATCGTATTCGTGGTCATAGTCGGCACCAAACCACCAGGGAAAATACTCATTGTAGTCGATGGTTTCGTTGAGCTGATCCACAGGGTTTCCTGCAAAAGACAGGAATACACGCTCAGTATACGAGGGAGGGAACGGTCCAAGGAAGAACAGGGAGATGTCAAAAGAACGACAATGGAGCTCATGGATAAGTTGAAGCGTGTGCCCCAAATAGCTTCTTTTTGCAAGCCTTCCCCTGCAATTCCCTGGAACACCCTTTGCCTTGCCAGAAATGCAGTAAGTAAATAAATAAAATACTGAACCAGGTCCAACATGATGTCTAAAAACAGCCTGAACCTTGTTGCTTTTCAGTTTAGCATCACAGACTTACCAACTAGTGTGATGTTGACACCCGACAAGCCAATGTGGAGCCCGACATCCACATCCACCAAAGCAGAACTGAAGGACTTGTAGGTGGTGTTGGCCTTCACCTTCCCGCTCTGCCAGTCAGAGGAGAAATGAACAGCTGGAAGAGGGAGGGAATCCTTGTGAGTCTTGGGTTGCCTTCTTGGAGACCATATTTGCCCTACTTTGCCCATCCCATTCCTCTGCCTGGACTCCTCAACTTATTTCCTTATTTAGGGTGCATCTACACCAGTGGTTCCAACCGTTTTTTTTTACCAGGGACCACTTGACCAAGGGCCACCTTGACCAGGGACCACCTTGACCAGACTCTCCAACATTAGTACCAAAAGCCTGTGCCCCTTGCATTTCAGCTGCCTTGCACTGCACTCGGGGTGCCTCAAGAGCGCCCCTCGGGGATGCTCGCTCTACGCAAATGCATAATTTGCAGATTGCTTCAGCTGCCCCTGGAAAGGGCTATGAATTAGTTTTGGTTTGGTTATTTGGAGTGCTGATTCAGAAAATTGCATACTACTTCCACATCAGCTCTAGTTTCTGACACAGAACATATGCCATCCAGGAGTCGCCATCTGCTTGCCCACAGAAAACCATAATTTAATAATCTAGAGCTGATGTGGTAGTAGTAATCTTTCGTTGATAGTCAGCCTCTCCCCTCCTGATATCCTCACTATTTAGAGGGTTTCGCAAGACCAGTCGCTCTCGTCATCACATAGTTTTGAGGCAACAGTGAGGCCGCAGACCATGTTTCCATTCTTGCGGACCATTGGTGGTCCACGGACCACAGGTTAGGAACCACTGATCTACACTGTGGAATTAATGCATTTTGACACAACTTTAATGCAATGGAATCATGGGTATTAAAGGTAAAATGCTCTTTAGCATGCCAGAGCCTCACCAAACTACAACTGGCACAATTCCATCGCCTTGGGCCATGGCTGTTAAAATGGTACCAAACTGTGTTGATTCGGCAGTGTAGATGCACCTTTAGAAACTGAAGCTCCCCAAGGGTTGGGCAAGGACAGAAGAGGAAAGCAACTCACCGACAATCACTCCTCCAATAAAAAGGCTTATGATGACACGGAAAAGCCAGTAGAGCCTCTGTCAACAAGAAAAGAGTAGAGAGTCACAATAAGAAGGGCAACTCGGCAATATCCCTTGGACTAATCGCCTTTGACAAATGCTTCTGAACTTGAATGAAGGGTGGGGCTCATATCTAAGTGGCTGCACCATCAACAAGCCGGAACGGCATAGGTAAAGGTAAAGGTTTTCCCCTGACATTAAGTCCAGTTGTGTCTGACTCTGGTGCTCATCTCCATTTCTTAGCCGAAAAGGTGGTGTTGTTCGTAGACACCTCCAAGGTCATGTGGCCAGCATGACTGCATGGAGTGACATTACCTTCACGCTGGAGTGGTACCTATTGATCGACTCACATTTGCATGTTTTTGAACTGCTATGTTGGCAGAAGCTGGGGCTAACAGCAGGAGCTCTCTCCACTCCCTGGATTCGAACCTTCTTTGGAGGCTGGATGGCCATCTGTTGGGGGTGATTTAATGATGTCTCCCTGCTGGGCAGAAAGGGGTTGGACTGGAAGACCTTTGGGAGTGGGAGTCTCTTCTAATCTATGATCTCGTGTTCAGAAGCATGAGGGAATCCCCTACTTTGGAGGCTGGATGGCCATCTGTCGGGAGTGATTTAATGGTGTCTCCCTGCCGGGCAGAATGGGATTGGACTGGAAGACCTTTGAGGGTGGGGGTCTCTTCTAATCTATGATCTCATATTCAGAAGCATGAGGAAATCCCCTACTTTGGAGGCTGGATGGCCATCTGTCAGGAGTGATTTAATGGTGTCTCCCTGCCGGGCAGAATGGGGTTGGACTGGATGACCTTTGAGGGCGGGGGTCTCTTCTAATCTATGATCTCGTGTTCAGAAGCATGAGGGAATCCCCTACTTTGGAGGCTGGATGGCCATCTGTCGGGAGTGATTTAATGGTGTCTCCCTGCCGGGCAGAATGGGATTGGACTGGATGACCTTTGAGGGCAGGGGTCTCTTCTAATCTATGATCTCGTGCTCAGAAGCATCAGGGAATCCCCTACTTTGGAGGCTGGATGGCCATCTGTCGGGAGTGATTTAAAGGGGTTTCCTTGCCGGGCGGAATGGGATTGGACTGGATGACCTTTGAGGGCGGGAGTCTCTTCTAATCTGTGATCTCGTGTTCAGAAGCATGAGGGAGTCTCCTCCTTTGGAGGCTGGATGGCCATCTGTCGGGAGTGATTTAATGGTGTCTTCCAGCCGGGCAGAATGGGGTTGGACTGGATGACCTTTGAGGGAGGGGTCTCTTCTAATTCTAGGAACTCATGTTCAGAAGTAGGGAGGATCACAAATGACACAACCTGACAATCAGAGCTCTGTGTGCCCCAAAAGGGGAATTTGGGGAAGAGAAGGCTCAGAATGACCCCTTACCGCTCTGCCCCGAATGCCAGGCAAGATCAGTAAGAAACTGAAGGCGATCACGAGGAAGACCACGATGACGATGATGAGGTTGACATCAAAGACAAAGGGCTTCCTAGACTGCGGGTAGAAGGGGTAGATGCCGTCAAAGAGCGTCATTTTGGGACCTGAAAGGCGGAGAAGAGCAGCCGTAAATCGGGGTGCCATTGAGCCTGGTTTCTTCTTGGCAGGAGGTAGGAATAAAGAGGCATTCACATGGCACAGTGGCTTGAGCATTGGACTCTGTGGATGCTCCAATCCTATTAGATACACTATACAATCCCACCAAGACATTAGATACACTATACAATCCCACCTACAATCAAGGAAGGAATTGAACCAAACTTGGCACACAGAACTCCCATGACAAACAGAAAATACGGGAAGGGTTTGGTGGTCATTGACCTTGAGTTTGGGAGTTGTAGTTCACCTCCATCTAGAGAGCACTGGGGACTCAAACAATGATGGATCTGGACCAAACTTGACACAAATACTCAATATGCCCAAATGTGAACACTGGTGGAGTTTAGGGAAAATAGAGCTTGACATTTGGGAGTTGTAGTTGGTGGGATTTATAGTTCACTTACAATCTAAGAGCATTCTGAACCTCACTAGTGATAGAATTGGGCCAAACTTCCCACTCAGAACCCCCATGACCAACAGAAAGTACTAAAAGAGTTTGATGGGCATTGAGCTTGAGTTTTAGAGTTGTAGTTCACCTACAATCAAAGAGCATTCTGAACTCCACCAAGGAAGGAATTGAACCAAACTTGGCACACAGAACTCCCATGACAAACAGAAAATACGGGAAAGGTTTGGTGGTCATTGACCTTGAGTTTGGGAGTTGTAGTTCACCTACATCCAGAGAGCACTGTGGACTCAAACAATGACGGATCTAAACCAAACTTGGCACAAATACTCAATATGCCCAAATGTGAACACTGGTGGAGTTTGGGGAAAATAGACCTTGACATTTGGGAGTTGTAGTTGCTGGGATTTATAGGAAAGATCAACCTGGTTTTCAGAGGCTGTGTCTACGCTCTAGATTGAATGCAGATTGGCATCACTTGAACTGCTAAACTTCAATGCTGCAAATCATGGCAGGTGCAGTTTGAGAAGATCTTTAGCCTTCTCTGCCAAAGAGTATCAAGGACGACTCTGAGGATTCCCTAGCATTGAGTCCATGGAAGCAAAAGTGGCGTCGAACTGCGTTAAGTCTACAATGTGGATGCATCCAAGGAAAGAGAACCAGGGCTCTCTGAAATGCATGCATTCAGAAGTCCAAAGGAAAGGGCCTGAGGATGTTAGGAATTGTGGGAGTTGAAGTCCAAAAACCTGGAGGGCCCAAGTTTGCCCATGCCTGAGCTGGATGGACCTCTGTCAGGAGGGCTTGGATGGTATCTTTCCTGTCCGGCAAAATGAGGCTGGACTAAGTAGTCTTTAGGGCCTTTTCCAACTCATAGAATCATATAATCTCATTTTTGAGACCCCACAAAGAGCATCTAGACCAACACTTTCCATGAAAGAGGACACCATCAAAGCCCTCCCGACAGAGACCCATGCAGCCTCTGCTTTGAAACCTCCAGGAAAGAAGAGTGCATTGCAGACACCACTTTAACTATCCTGGCTCAATGCTGGAGTTTTCCTCTTCAGCCTACTCTGGTCAGAAGAAGAGCTTGCAGTGGGATCAAACTGAGTTAATTCTGCAGTGTAGAACCACCTCAACAGAAGTGGGATTTGAATGAGTGCTGATGGCCAGCAGTCCCACTGATTTCAAAGTATTTCAAAGTATGCAAATCAGAGTCCTTTCCCCTATGTTCAGATTAATATAATTTCTTCTAACCCATTTTCCCTTTCCAAAATATACTTATTGGGCCAACCTTTTTTAGGAGTGCCAGACCGCATTAATTATACAGTGCAGATCCCCACCCAAGACTTACCGCCTGAGAGAGAGGAGGAGGAAGAAGAGCAGCAACAGGGTTGTCCTATTCAGAGAAGGAGAAAAGGGAATGGCCCCACAGCCAGGACCCTTCCCTTATATAGGGCAGCTTGCAGGCGTCATGCAAATGAAGTCCCCCTTGGCCACGCCCCTTGGCCACGCCCCCAGGGAAACCTTCCTCTTGCCTTGGTCAGAGTGACATTCCAGGTACAGGCGCCTGAGAGAGAAGCAGCAGCAGCAGCAGGTGACTGCCCAGGTAAGGGAACTAAAGAAGGTATTACCTGTCTGTGTGTTTCTCTGTCACTGTATAAAAGCCTATGTAAACTGCAATCTGCTCTGAGTCCCCTTGGGGAGATAGGGCAGAATATAAATAAAGTGTATTATTATTATTATTAAAGGAAGGACAGAGGAAAGGTAAGAAGTCTTTCTTCCTCCTTTCAAAGCAAAGGAAATCTTTCCCATCTTAAATCCTGGCGAAAGAGACCCTTTCCATCAGTAGCATTATTATTATTGTACTAGCCGTCCCCTGCCACGCGTTGCTGTGGCCCATATGGGAGTTCTGTGTGGGAGATTTTGCCCAATTCTATCGTTGGTGAGGTTCAGAATGCTCTGATTGTAGGTGAAGTATAAATCCCAGCAACTACGACTCCCAAATGTCAAGATTCTATTTTCCCCAAACTCCACCAGAGTTCACATTTGGGCATATTGAGTATTCGTGTAGAGTTTGGTCCAGATCCATCATTGTTTGAGTCCACAGTGATCTCTGGATGTAGGTGAACTACAACTCCCCAAACTCAAGGTCAATGCCTACCAAACCCTTCCAGTATTTTCTGTTGGTCTTGGGAGTTCTGGCCCAATTCTATCATTGGTGGGGTTCAGAATGCTCTGTGATTGTGGGTGAACTATAAATCCCAACAACTACAACTCCCAAATGCCAAGATTCTATTTTCCCCACACTCCACCAGTGTTCACATTTGGGCATATTGAGTATTCGTGTAGAGTTTGGTCCAGATCCATCATTGTTTGAGTCCACAGTTATCTTTGGATGTAGGTGAACTACAACTCCAAAACCAAAGGACACCCTTCCAGTATTTTCTGTTGGTCATGGGAGAACTGTGTGTCAAGTTTGGTTCAATTCCATCATTGGTGGGGTTCAGAATGTTCTTTGATTGTAGGTGAACTATAAATCCCAGCAACTACAACTCCCAAATGTCAGGTCTATTTCCTCCAAACTCCACCAGTGTTCACATTTGGGCATATTGAGTATTCGTGCCAAGTTTGGTCCAGTTCCATCATTGTTTGAGTCCACAGTGATCTCTGGATGTAGGTGAACTACAACTCCAAAACCAAAGGACACTGCCCACCAAACCCTTCCAGTATTTTCTGTTGGTCATGGGAGAACTGTGTGCCAAGTTTGGTTCAGTTCCATTGTTGGTGGGGTTCAGAATGTTCTTTGATTGTAGGTGAACTATAAATCCCAGCAACTACAACTCCCAAATGTCTATTTTCTCCAGACTATTTTCCCCAAACTCCACCAGTGTTCACATTTGGGCATATTAAGTATTCGTGTAGAGTTTGGTCTAGATCCATCATTGTATTCGTATATTGTGAACTATAAATCCCAGCAACTACAACTCCCAAATGTCAAGATTTTATTTTCCCCAAACTATTTTCCCCAAACTCCACCAGTGTTCACATTTGGGCATATTAAATATTCATGTAGAGTTTGGTCCAGATCCATCATCCACCATATTGTGTCCAAATTTGGTGTCAATTAATGCAGTTAATGTTTTTGAGTTATGTTAATCCCACAAATGAACATTACATTTTTATTTATATAGATGATATATTATGATATATAACATGTAATTATATATTATATATCATATAATAATAATAATAATAAATTTACTAAGTTACTGTATTAACATGATGATAAAGGGTCCATCTAAACAAGGCATGGGCAAACTTTGGCCCTCCAGGTCTTTTGGACGTCAATTCCCAGAATTCCTAACAGCTGGTAGGCTGTCAGGAATTGTGGGAGTTGAAGCCCAAAACACCTGGAGGGCCCAAGTTTGCCCATGGCTGGCCTTCAGTGTAGAATGAATGCAGACTGATATGATGTGAACTGCCATAAATAGTGATGGTGTCTTATTGTTGTTGTTACTGTTGTTGTTGATATTATTATTATTATTATTATTATTACTATTATTATTTGAAACACAACAAGATGAGTCCACAGCAGACGCTTTGCTGGCTGTTGTATTGGATCACACGTCGGACACTTCCCAATATTATTATTATTATTATTATTATTATTATTATTATTATTATTATTATTATTATTATTTGAAACACACAAGATGAGTCCACAGCAGACACTCTGCTGGCTGTTGTATTGGATCACACGTCGGACACTTCCCAAGTGTCTAGGACTGTGTGATGTATCGGCGAATGATGTGTGCAGATCCCAGTAAGGTGGCCTTTTGCAGCTGGCAGATGGTAATTTTGTCAGTGCCAATTGTGTTTAAGTGCAGGCCAAGGTCTTTAGGCACTGCACCCAGTGTACCGATCACCACTGGGACCACCTTGACTGGCTTGTGCCAGAGTCTTTGCAGTTCGATCATTAAATTATTATTATTATTATTATTATTATTATTATTATTAAAATGACCGCTTGTGCAATCCGGATGATAATTTTGTCAGCACCGATTGTGTTTAAGTGCAGGCCAAGGTCTTTAGGCTCTGCATCCAGTGTGTGCCGATCACCACTGAGACCACCTTTATTGGCTTGTGCCAGAGTCTTTGCATATTTATTATTATTATTATTATTATTATTATTATTATTATTATTATTATTAAAATGACCGCTTGTGCAATCCGGATGATAATTTTGTCAGCACCGATTGTGTTTAAGTGCAGGCCAAGGTCTTTAGGCTCTGCATCCGGTGTGTTCCGATCACCACTGAGACCACCTTTATTGGCTTGTGCCAGAGTCTTTGCATATTTACTATTTATATTATTATTATTATTATTATTATTATTATTATTATTATTATTATTATTAAAATGACCGCTTGTGCAATCCGGATGGTAATTTTGTCAGCGCCAATTGTGTTTAAGTGCAAGCCAAGGTCTTTAGGTACTGCACCCAGTGTGCCGATCACCACTGAGACCACCTTGGCTGGCTTGTGCCAGAGTCTTTTATTATTATTATTATTATTATTATTATTATTATTATTATTACTAAGTTACTATATTAATATGATGACAAAGGGTACATCAGCACTGTAGAACTGTGTTCCCAACCTTTGGGCCTTCAGGTGTTTTGGACTTCAACTCCCAGAAATCCCAGCCAGCTTACCAGCTGTTAGGAACTGTGGGAGCTGAAGTCAAAAACACCCGGAGGCCCAAAGGTTGGGAAGCACTGCTGTTGAATGAATGCAGTTCAGCACCACTTTAACTGCCCATGGCTCAATGCTATGGCATCCTGGGAGTTATAGTTTGACAAGGTCTTTAGCCTTTTGTATCAAACTACAACTCCCAGGATTCAAGAGCATCAATCCAGGGCAGTTCAGCTGGGGTCCTGCAATGCAGATCCACCATTCAACTTAAACAGATCCACCCTGAAGTTAAGCATTCGCTTTAAAGTTTCTCTCCATGGGAACCTGTCCCTTTGGCCCATCTATTGGCAGGTCTTTTTGGATCTTTTGGACCCAGCCGGTGTTTTTCTTGTCGGAGGGATAGGCTGCCTCAAATGTCAGCTTTATGGCTTCCTCCAAAGAAATGAAAACACACCCTTTCGGAGAACTTTAGTTGCACTCTTTGCATTTGTAAAACATGTATTTTGCTCTTCAATTTTCTGCCTTAATCTCCAGGGCTGTGTGGAAGGGCCTCATATAATCCCTACTGATTCCTGATCTGGCAAGAGGGTGGACTAGATGACCTTTTAGTATCTCCTTGTTCTATGAGCCCGTCCTTCTCTTTCTCGCTGCAAACGCACTCAAAGTGAAGGGCAGGATGCATATTTCAGATGCCAAGCTCTTAAACTGGAAAGTTCGGATTTGCTTTAGTTTGATCTGACATGTCATAAATAGTGTTCTAACTCCAATGTGATTTTAGCTTTGAGATAGACAGGGCTGGCTCTAGCAGTATTTATTTATCACTAGCCGTCCCCTGCCATGTGTTGCTGTGGCCCAGTCTGTGTATATGTGTTTTTTGTGTGTATCTATATGTATATATATGTGGTTTTCTGCATGCATTGTAATTTATTTTTGCTTTTTAAGTCTCTTATGCTGTGTTTTCCAGTGTTTTTGTGAGTTATATCACTGCCTTGTGTCCAAATTTGGCAGCAATTTGTCCTGTGATTTCTGACTTATGTTAATCCCACAAATGAACATTACATTTTTTATTTATATAGACTAGCCGTCCCCTGCCACACATTGCTGTGGCCCAGTCTGTGTGTATGCTTTTTGTGTATATATATGTGTGTATATATATGTTTTTTGTACATGCATTGTAATTTATTTTTGCTTTTAAAGTCTCTTACGCTATGTTTTTCAGTGTTTTTATGAGTGATGGTCATTTGTTGGACTAATAGGTGTCCAAATTTGGTGTCAATTTCATCCAGTGGTTTTTGAGTTATGTTAATCCCACAAATGAACATTACATTTTTATTTATATAGACTAGCCGTCCCCTGCCACGCGTTGCTGTGGCCCACATGGGGGTTCTGTGTGGGAGATTTGGCCCAATTCTATTGTTGGTGGGGTTCAGAATGCTCTGTGATTGTAGGTGAACTAATCCCAGCAACTACAACTCCCAAATGTCAAGATTCTATTTTCCCCAAACTCCACCAGTGTTCACATTTGGTATTGCGTATTCGTGTAGAGTTTGGTCCAGATCCATCATTGTTTGAGTCCACAGTGATCTCTGGATGTAGGTGAACTACAACTCCAAAACCAAAGGATGCCCACCAAACCCTTCCAGTATTTTCTGTTGGTCATGGGAGTTCTGTGTGGCATGTCTCATTAAGTGTGGAATACATGGTGAGATGTATTCCACACTGAGCATGCGTATTCAGCAGCAGAGCAGCAAAGTGCAAGGGCAGGTCTTCACTGTGCCTGGTTGTGATCCCCAGGTTGTGCCAGTCAGCTTTCGTATGATATTTTCTAGCACCCACTTTTTGCTTGATTTCAAGCAGTGCTTCTTGTAAGTCAGAGCACGACCCAGAGTAACTCCCAGGTATTTGCTGCAAT